AGACTAGTAACCCCCGCCTTCCCCTCCCCCATCCGACACAGGACCTGGTTGGATCAACAGAGGCAGAAATTTTGGAAACTTGGAAGGTCCGCACACACTCTGTTCCCTGGGACTCAGTTCATATAGTTGCTTGTGGTGAGCGAATGCTAAACTTGCGGAGCGGTGAATCTGTCCATTTCCCAGGCTCCTGAAACTTTGACGTAAGATTTTTAAATTGATTAGATGTGAGCCTACTGAAGATAAAATCGGCAGTGGGATTCCCTGCTGCAAATGCTCACCCGGTTCTTATCCTTCCTCTGTTGTGCATTTTGTAGGAATTAGTCCTAGAGACACTCAGTATACAATGGAGGCATATCTCTAACCATTTTAATGTAACTCTGTCAGGAAACCTGCTTACAACCAAGGTACTTATGGTTCTTTCGTTAGTATTTCATTCCTTAAATTATTGCTTTTATTATAGATTTTTCACCAACGAATAGGAAACCAAACAACAAACAGTAAATGATTTTATCTCTTCAAAAATGATTTTAAAGACAATAGATGAGAGGTATTTTGAAAAAAAAATAAAACCATTTTTTTTGAACTAGAAACAGCATTTACAAATGACTTCATCAAAATATTTCTGTGTATTTTCTCTGTGGCTATTTGTTTTGAAAAACCTCCTCAAGCCAATATTGTCATTGGTGATAATGAAATTCTTTTGCATTTGGAAAGCTGTTATTTTTCCTTAAGGAATATGAAAACACATCCATTTCCTGCAATTTTCATATTGTTGTTTAGCTCTAAGAAACATAAAATTATGACATTGCTTGCCAGATGGATGGGCTTGGAAATGGGATGTTAAACTGGGGTGGAACAATCTCAAAAAATGAATGATGGATATTCTCCCTTAAACGTAGGAACTAGTCAATCATATGCGTATATAATGAAACAAATAAAATGCTTAGTAGAGAATAGGGAAGTCTGAATATAAGGGAGTAGGGAAAACTGAGTAAAGTGATCTACCTGAGTCCTGAACGATGCCTTAGAGTGAATTGTTTTGCTAGTTCTGAGTCTGTTTGATTTGGATGATGGATGTTTAAAATATATTCAATAATGAATTTTAAAATTCAATGTGGAGGTTACACTGAGATACATTGAGTCTGGTAACATGGAGGAGTAAGTATGGTTTATTTGCAAGGAGTTTTTAAATAAATGTTATACAATGAAAAATATTATCAAAGCATACCAGAATAATGGAACTGTAAAAAGAACGAAAAAGAACGAACAGGACTACTGAGGCCTCATAGTGAAAACATATTGAAGAGAAGTATATCAGCAATACATCGGGAAAGGCCCCGTGCCCAGAATTCCCCAACACAAAACAGACACCTTGGGCTTTTGTTTGTTTTCTTACTTTGTTATTTTTATGAATTGTTCAGGAGCCTAACAGTGGAAAGGTTACAGCAGAGAGGAGCCAGATGGTTTTAAGACACTACTTGTACCTAATTCCCTCCACCCCTGAAGCCCTGAAGAGGAAGCTATTGAGTCTGTAGGAGTTAAAGACTGAAATCGTGTAAGGAATGTATCCCATGGTTGCTTCTCTGTTCTTGCATAAGGTGTAGCTGACCCCATTCACCTGTTCATTGATTGCATTGCTAGAGGAGGTGGACAGTGTTTGAAGGGCCGGGAATGTAACAGGATAGCATGGGTGTGCTAGGGGAACACTAGTGTCTGTGGTACTCTCTGGGAACTCTCTCATCCCAGAGTCACCAAGGAACTGTGGGCAGCCAGAGAAGATTGCAACCATGTTAGAGGAAGCGTTCTCAACCTGTAGGTCACAACCCCTTTAGGCTTGCATATAAGACAGTCACATTATAATTTTAACAGTAGCAACCTTACAGTTACAAAGTAGCAACAAAATGGTTTTATGGTTGGGGAGGAGTTTCAACACACATGAGGAACTCTTTTACTGGATCACAGGATTAGGATGGTTTTAAACCACTAAGAAGGAGTTCCAAGGTAAACACCATCAGGTCTTAGGTACCCGATTTTCACATGGTGGTCAGGAAGCAGTCAAGGGCTGTCTTAATTAGGGTTCCTATTGCTCTAACAAAACACCATGACTAAAACTCAAGTTGGAGTTTATTCGGCTTATACTTCCAATTTGCTCTTCAGCTCCAAACAGGAGAAGTCAGGACAGGATCTCAAGAAGGGCAGGAACCTGGGGCAGGAGCTAATGCAGAGGCTGGTGAATGAGTGCTGTTTTCTTGTTTGCATAGCCAGCTTGCTCAGTAAGCTTTCTTCTAGAACCAGGAATACCACTGGAGAAATTGCACCACCCACAATTGGTTGGGCTCTTACTAATTAAGAAACTGCTTTACAGCTGGGTCTTGTGGTGACATATCCTCAACTGAGGCTCCTTCATCTCTGATGACTGACTTGTGTCAAGTTGATACAAACACAGCAAGTACAAGCCCTTAGTTAATAACCACAGACATAGGAATCTTCAATTGTGGGCATTACAGTGTGAAAACGGACATGGAATCTGCTTTTTTTCATTCCCTTCTATTGAATTTAGAGTTTCCGTTCGTCACTTTTGATTTTGTCGACTCTAGATGTTCTTAATAGCAGTGAATTTGTCTGTCTGAAAGTCAATAAAGTTCTCTTGTGCAGTCTGCAGGGATGAGCTTTTGTGCACCTGGCTATCTTAAGATTAAACCCAAGCCTTTTCAAAGACACAGGATGTCTGTAGCTGTCCAAACTCCCTCTTGGGATGGGAGGACTTTATTGCAAATGGATTTTCATCATCTGCATTTTCTTCTAGATTTCAACATGCAATGCACCCCCAACTCCAGCAAATGGGGACCTGGCTCTAGGCCCAGAGCAATCCTGACAATTTCACCTGGGACCCTGCATGGTCACCACTAGGGGCAGAATGTGTTGCACCCGTGAAGCTCCTTCAAGGCATCCATTTCTTAAGAGCACAAAGATTCTATTAATGTACGAGGTAAGTTTTTCAATCCATTTTCTCCCCTTACCTTTTTGTCAGACATGGTACAGTATCATTAATCCCAGGGCATCTGCGTGCTGATAGGTAGCAGCTAGCTCCTGAGGCTCCTTCTCCAAGACGCAGCTCTTTTCTGCAAAAACCATGGATCCTGCAGTATGGCCGCCAGAGCAAGCAGGCTTCTACTTAGATAAGAGTCTGACAAACCTCCTTCCCGAGAGAGACTGCCTGGGTAAGGTCGCGCAACGATACCAAATATATGACCTAAAATAAAATGTTTTAAAATTGATTAGATGTGTGCTAAATCTAATAAAATTTATTATTAGATTTTAAAATAAATCTAATAAAATAAGAAGAAGATAAAATAAGTAATGGGAGTAGCTGTCGCAAATGCATTCTTTTTCATCTCTTGTGACTTCAGTAAAAAATAGCCTCAGAGTTGGTCAGCCAACAAGCAAGGCACATCTCCAAGCAGTTTGAGATCGTTCTGCCTGGAAACCGGTTGGCTTACTGACCAAGCCCATCGGAAAAATAAAAAAGGTTCTGTTATGCAGCCTGTAAGGATGAATTGTTACAGTGCAAGCTTGAATCCAGTGCCCTGAAAGCAGGCAGGATTGACTAGGGGAGCTCACCCGTCCTTTGGGTGGGGCAGACTACAGCAAATGAATTCACAGTCCCTGCCTCCCCTTTTCTGCCTGGTAAATTTTCAAGCCATTTTTCTCCTTAATTATTTTTTGAAGGGGGCAAACACGGGGCAATATTTTTTATTCTAAAATCTCCGTCCTCCTGGGGAAGCAACTAGCTGCGGATGCTCTTTCCCAAGAGGCAGCTCTTTGCCGCGAAAGCGGCAGAAGCTGCAGTATGGCTGCCGCGGCAAGCAAGGGAGCTCCGGGTTCGGTAAGCTCCTGGCGAACTTCACTTCTAAGAAGACCTCCTGGGTCAGCCAGTATCTTGAATTTTGGGGTGCTCACAGACGTTTAGGATTTGGACAGCTTGCCTAGATCCTCCCAGTGAGTGCCGTTTCACTTTAAACTAAGAGACTAGTAACCCCCGCCTTCCCCTCCCCCATCCGACACAGGACCTGATTGGATCAACAGAGGCAGAAATTTTGGAAACTTGGAAGGTCCGCACACACTCTGTTCCCTGGGACTCAGTTCATATAGTTGTTTGTGGTGAGCGAATGCTAAACTTGCGGAGCGGTGAATCTGTCCATTTCCCAGGCTCCTGAAACTTTGACGTAAGATTTTTAAATTGATTAGATGTGAGCCTACTGAAGATAAAATCGGCAGTGGGATTCCCTGCTGCAAATGCTCACCTGGCTTTTCTCTCTGATCCTTCATCTGTTGTTCATTCGGTAGGAATTAGCTCCAGAGAAGCTCAGTATACAATGGAGGCACATCTCCAACCACTTCGATGCAACTCTGAGAGTAAACCTGCTTACTACCCAGGTAGGTATGGTACTTTGTCTAGTATTATACTCCTTAAATTATTGCTTTCATTATTGGACTTTCACTAAGAAACAGGAAACCAAACAACAAACAGTAAATGATTTTGCCTCTTTAAAAATGATTTTAAAGACAATGAATGGGAGGTGTCTTTCAAAAAAATTGGTTTTTTTCTATTTATAGAGCTATTTCTAGAGCTAGAAACAAAAGCATTTATGAACGACTTCATCAAAATATGCCAGTGTATTTTCCCTGTGACTATTTCTTTTGAAAAATCTCCTAACAACAGTATTGGTATGGGTGATACTGAAATTCTTTTGCATTTGGAAAGCTGTTATTTTTCTTTAAGGAATATGAAAACACATCCATTTCCTGCAATTTTCACGTTGTTGTTTACGTCTAAGAAACATAAAATTATAACGTTGATTGCCAGATGGATGGGCTTGGAAAGGGGATGTTAAACTGGGGTGGAACAATCTCAAAACATGAATGATGGATATTCTCCCTGAAATGTTGGAACTAGTCAATCATATACATATATAATGAAACAAATAAAATGCTTAGTAGAGAATAGGGAAGTCTGAATATAAGGGAGTAGGGAAAACTGAGTCAAGTGATCTACCTGAGTCCTGAATGAGGCCTTAGAGTGAATTGATCTGTTAGTTCTGAGTCTGTTTGATTTAGATGATGGATGTTTAAAATATATTCAATAACGAACTTTAAAATTCAATGTGGTGCTTACACTAGCTGAGATACATTGAGTGTGGCAAAATGCAGGAGTGGTTTATTTGGAAGGAATTTTTTAATAAATGTTATAAAATGAAAAAGATTATCAAAGCATATGACAATAATGGAAAGCCAAAAATAGCCAACAAGTCTATCTAGATATGGTGTTAAACATGAATAATCTTTCTTTATGAATTCAGAGGCATGAAGATCTTGATCTCCAGGTCTACTGAGGCCTCATATAGAAACATATTCAAGCAAAGTATATATCAGTAATACCCCAGCAGTCGACCCATGCCCAGGATGTCCCAACACAAAGCAATCATCATGGGCTTTTTGTTTGCTTTCTAGGTTTATGTGTTTTAGTCCTTTTACTCTTTCTCATCTGGGCGGGGGGTTCTAGAGAAAAGAGTTGTACAGTTTCATGAGTAATGGCGGTAGATGGAGGTAGGAATATGGGAAAGGAAAAATATAAATTGAACATTCTATAAAACAAGCTCAGCACAAATAGAAAATTTTTCCCATAAAATGCAGGATTCTACTCTGTGTAGCAGGTGCCTCCAACTTGCTTTCTCTCAGAGGACACCCTTGAGATCCTCATGTTCTCACCTCACAAGGGATGGGAGTGCAATCATTCACAAACCACCTTAGCAGCAGAAATGGTTCTGTATGAATTGTTCAGGAGCCTAACAGTGGAAAGGTTACAGCAGAGAGGAGCCAGATGGTTTTAAGACACTACTTGTACCTAGCTCCCTCCACCCCTGCAGGCCTGAAGAGGAAGCTATTGGGTCTGTAGGAGTTAAAGATTGAAATCGTGTAAGGAATGTGTCCCATGGTTGCTTCTCTGTTCTTGCATAAGGTGTAGCTGACCCCATTCACCTGTTCATTGATTGCATTGCTAGAGGAGGTGGACAGTGTTTGAAGGGCCGGGAATGTAACAGGATAGCATGGGTGTGCTAGGGGAACACTAGTGTCTGTGGTACTCTCTGGGAACTCTCTCATCCCAGAGTCACCAAGGAACTGTGGGCAGCCAGAGAAGATTGCAACCGTGTTAGAGGAAGGGTTCTCAACCTCTGGTCACGACCCCTTTAAAGGCTGCATTCTAAGGTATTTGCATTAGGATTAATAACTGCAGCAAGCTTAGTTATGAAGTAGCAACAAAATAATTTTATGGTTTTATGATTGGCATAGGGTCACCACAAATGAAGAACTGTATTGCAGGATCACATCAGGAAGATTTAGAACATCTGACCTAGGTGTTCCAAGGTAATATGTAGGAGTGGTGGCCCTCTGTCCCTGCTTTTTACCATTTCAGGAACAATCAAGGCCTGTCTTAATTAGGGTTTCTATTTGCTGCAATGAAACACTATGACCAAAGAGCTAACTGGGGAGCTTTTGTGCACCTGGCTATCCCATAATTAAACTCAATCATTTTTAAAGAGACAGGATGATCTGATGGTGTCCAACCTCCTCTTGTGTGGGGAGGATACCACTATAAGTGGATTTTCATCACCCCCATTACCCACCTACTTTTAGTATGCATTGCACCCCAAACCCCAGCAAATGGGAACCTTTTGTAGAGGAAAAGAAGAATCCTGACCATTTCAACTGGGACCTTGCAGGCTTATAGTTGGGGTGGAGTGGGGTACACTCATGTGAAGTTTCTTCCAGGTGGCTAGTTCATTAAGAGCACAAAGAATCCATTACTGTAAGATGTCAATTCTGTCAGGCAAGTATCTCTAGCCAGTTTTCTCATTTTTTTGCAACATGGTAATATGTTTTTAATCTCAGGGTATTTGCTTGCCTGTAGGCTAGTAGCTAGCTGCAGCTGTCCTTTCCCAGGAGGCAACTGATTGTGTAAAATGGGATGGATCCTGCAATATGTTCCATGGCAAGTGAACTCCAGGTTCACTAAGCTCCTGCTAAATTTCCCTTCTAAGAGAGAACTCCGGGGTCAGCCAGCTTTTTGAGTGTTTAGGTGTGCTCACTAAGGTTGTGGACAGCAGGGCTAGAACTTTCTAGAGAGTGACTTTCCACTTGAGATGACTAGAAAACTTGCCAAGTAATTCAATTACTTGAATTCTTAGATTCTTCTCGGGGGAGGATCCCCACACTCTTTGGTGACAGAGACTCCCCCGTGAGCTTGTATGCACTGAGAGTCTCCTGAATATCCTGAGCAATGAATCCTTTCCCTGTCCTGGCTTGTTGAAAACTTATGAATGATTAGGATCTAAAAAGGAGTGTTTTAAAATTGATTAGATGTGTGCCTACTGAAGATAAAATCGGTAAGTGGTTGAAGCTGTTGGAAGTGCTAGACTGCCTGCTGTCCATTCTCTTTCATCTGTTGTCTACTCAGTAGGAATTAGCCCAAGGGAGGCACATCCTCAAAAGCTGTGGGATATTCCCCTAGGACACCTGCTTACTGCCCAAGCCCCTCCAAAAACCAAAAAAAGTTCTCCTGTGTACCCTCTAAGGATGAGTTGTTGTGTGCCTGTGTATCCAATGACCAGTGACCTTGAGAGCAGGTAGTATTGACTAAGACAGCTTTCCTGTCCTTCGGGTGGGGCAGAGCAAGGCAAATGTATGCTTAGTCCCTGCCGCCCCTTTTCAGCCTGGTAAGTTTCTCAAGCTGTTTTTCTCCTTAACTGTTTTTTGGCAAAATCGTTGCTTCCAGGGTATTTCCATGGTCCTAAGCTAGGGGCTAGCTGTGGCTACACTTTCCCAGGAGGCAACTCTTTGCTGCAAAAGCGACAGAAGCCTCAGTATGGCTGGCACTGCAAGCGAGCTCCAGGTTTGGTAAGCTCCTGGCAAACCTCACTCCTAAGAAGACCTCCTGGGTCAGCCAGCATCTTGAATTTGAAGGTGCTCGCTGACGTTTATGATCCGAACAGTTTACCTAGAGCCTCCTAGAGAGTGACTTTCCTCTTTAAACTAAGAGGCAAGTAACCCCACCGCTCTCTTCCCCATGTGCCAGTGCCAGAGGACCTGGTTTGAAGGACAGAAAAGTACCAGAAGTTTTGTAACCTTGGAAGGTTCCCCCGCACTCTGTTCCCGGCGACTCAGTTCATACAGTGGCTTGTGCTGAGCAAATGGTAAATCTGTCCATTTCCCAGGCTCCTGAAACTTTGACTTCAGATTAAGACCTAAAACGAAAGATTTTTAAGCTGATTAGATGTGAGCCTATTGAAGCTAAAGTCAGCAGTGCGGAATGCTCTTGTATATCCTAGTCTGGATTTTCTCCATTCTCCTTCATCTGTTGTGCCTTCAGTAGAAATTAGCCCCAAAGAGCTCAGTTTCCAAGGAATGCACATCTCCAACCACTTTGAGATAATTCTTGCATAAGCCCTGATTTCTGCCCCAGTACTTCTGATTCTGTGGCTAATGTTATTTTCCTTAAATTACTAATTTATTCATTGGTTTTTCACTAAGGAATACCAAACCAATCAGCGAAGATGAATAAGTATTCTTACTTCTTGAAAGACCATTTTTAATTTAAAAGGCAGTTGGGAAGAGGTGTCATCCCATAACAATTTTTCTCGAGCTAGATATAAAATTATTTAACAAAAGGTTTTATAAATACATGTCCATGTGTTTTTTCTGGGCCTTCTTAATTTTTTTTCTTTTTCATCCTACTTGTGTTCCTAGTCTGTGTCTTTCATTTTTATTCAGTCCATATGCTTTGATGAAACTTGTTTTACTTTTACGTGTGTGTGTGTGTGTGTGTGTGTGTGTGTGTGTGTTTTACACGTACATGTGTTTAAGAGTTCTGTAGCCGTGGCACAAGAATAGAAGACAGAGCCCAACTTATTGGAGTTGGTTCTCTCCTATCATGTGAGACGGGGGTATTGACCTCAGTTCATTAGACATAGCAGCAACTACCTTTTTCTGCTCAGCATCCCAAGGGCCCTTCTGGTCCTGTGATTTTCAGTTTCAAGCAAGACAAGTGTGAGGAAGACCATCATAGAGGATCTGGTAGATGACAAAGTTGTCTCATCTCAAAACAGCAACATTTCAGAAGTGAGAATACAATAAGCAGTTTGCAGATTAGCAGGGGCATCTGGCTAAGAAATTGTTTAGAGGGGAGTCAGTGAGGAGCTGCACCAATCTGACCCTCGTTCTGGCTCACACAGGAAAAATCTGTTATCAAAATTAGCTGACCAGCACATTTCCTTTATCTTCTTATTTTCTTATTTGAACATTCTTTAAAAATAGAATGCAGAAATTGACTATGCCTATTTCTTTGCTTCAAGAAATGAACTTTTGCAAGCTAACGAAGT